GAGCCGTGACAGGTCCTCCCTCTCAACTCAACTTTGATTTCTGTTCCACGTCACTTTCCATCTCCCCTGCCCTTAATCCCTGTCGCCTGTCTGCAGAGTAATGATGTTCCTGTTTTTTGTGGGTTTTTTTACAGCCCGTGTGTTCCGGTCATCACCCCAATTCGGTGTCACCCTCCTCACGTACGAGATTCTGCAGAGATATCTGTACATTGACTTTGGAGGACAGTGAGTGAAAATTCATTGCTCTCGTTAATAGAGGCTTTAAATGATAACCATCTTGTAGGTCAGTTCTTTTGTTCCACAGGGAAACCTCCTTTGTGCATACCCTGTGGAATAAAAGCACTGGCCTGCAAGATGACATCAGTGCAAACCCTTTAGATGAGTAGGGATACCAGACCTACAGCAATTGCAGGAATTCTGGCTTTTTCATATTTTGGGAACAAACCCACAATATTTGTAACTTTATTACTGCACCTAAAACTTCTAAAGATACAGTGCTTTCCAATCTCCATGTGCTGTAATGTGCGTGAAATAATGATTCAATTTACACATATTGCTGGCACTGCATAAGCAATGTCCTTTGAAATACACGTAGATGTATGTGGAAATCCAGTCTGTGAGGAGCCGACTTTGTCGGTTGCCACACAACTCGTGTTCACTGTAGATGGCCAAAGTAGGGAACCAGTTATATTTTTGCATCAAAATGGTTTTGTGAGTGTGTAAATATATATAACATGATGGAATGACAACTCGTTGGCATTGTTGCATGTGTCACAACTGGACATACCGTTAAGTTTTGACTTCTAAATGTGTCAGAATGGAAGCTGAAAACAGTGAAAATGTTACATTAATTCATTGAAGTGTGAAAAATAAAATCAAATGACAAATGCTAAAATACAAAAACAACGATGGATGTTTCGTTTTGGACTAACATTACCAGTACATTCGCCATACGGCAGATCGGTGTAAAGCACACTGCAGTGTGTGCCACCAGATCATCCTTTCGCTGGTTAGCCATCGCTAGTGTCACAAGAAAATCATCACAATTGTTCACACTTTTGCAAGAAAAATAAATGCCAGAATCCATCAAAATTACTACTTAGTTCATCAGAAAAGAAGGGCAGGATACTCTGGTGTTTTTGGCCGTTATGTGCAGTTGTTTTTAGTCAGATCCCGTACGTTCATATTTAACCCGTATTTATCTAGTACTTTATGCCTACTTTACCCCTTTTCCAAATTTTGCAGCCCTGGAATGAGAACCCACTGACATACCAGTGTAAGGCATTTTCCTGACATACAGTGGTTAAATCATAGGTTGTGTCCGGAATCACTTGGTTGCTGTTTCACATTACACACGACTCAAAGAGTGAAGTGGCTGCAGTCATTTCCATAGACTTTTGCGTGATTTCAGGGCTTCAGGAATTGGAAAGATTAATCACCAAGAGTTTAAGTGACCTTTCCTCTCTCCCAAACTAGACGGCCCGAGGGCTCAGAAACCAAGCCCAGCACCCACATAGCCGACCTGCCTCCGGTCAACCCGGATCACATCGGGGGTCTCCGGCTGGCCGTGGCCACCTTCTCCGGCGTGGAGTCCAAGTTCGGCCTGTTCCTCCCCAAGTTCAGAAACCCACTGGCAACTGTGGCCGTCCAGCCCAGCTAGTAACTCAGCTGACACCCTCTCTGGTATTTTAATTTTCAAACCAGTCCCCCTCATTGATTGAGTCAAAAACTGATTTGTAGTACACTGCCGTTTCTATTTGTGATGAGGAACGGCAGTTTGCGTGTGAAAGGAAGCATGCATCTTGCTGATTCATCATAGCTGCATTTACTCCCGTGGTGAACATGGAGACGTTTTTGCAATACTTTGCAGAAATCCCCAATGATTAATCAAAGTGAATGCTGGTTGATTTGCTGTGACCCTATAGATGAAGTTATTGCATGCCAAATGGTAAACATCGGGGGACACTTTGATGCCAGCACAGTCAGACAGCTGGACTTGTACAACCTTTTTTAACCTTAATCCTAACTGTGTAAATATACTAGTGAATGAAGAGCATCAACTGCAGCTGGATTCAAACTCCTGACATTACTGTACAAGTACAGTTTTCACCTAACCGTGAGGTGTCCAGCCCAGTGGGTTGTAGGCGTTTGCTTTTGGGTTGAACTCAGAAGCTATGAAGCCTGTGTATGCTTTCACCTTGGCAACAACTTTAGACTACACAAGTTACGACCTAGATGTGGATATAGTAAAATAATGAGTGTCTTTTCAATGCCATTTCAAAGACAGAGCAAAAAATGCCTAATATTTAGAGGTAGGTTATATATTAATTCCTGAATAAAGGATTCATGCAAGAAAGAGTTAATTACCTTGTAAACTAAGACCACAATTGCAAACTGAATAACTGTTTGAAGGACAATTCATCCTTATTGACATGATAAAAATTCACAGTTCTGTTTTGTAATATTTATTGAGACAGTTCATCATACTCGTAGCCATTTCTTGAGAAGCAGTTTTGAAGAAGTCTGTCTCCAAGTGCTCCTGGTTTCATTTTTTTGACCTGGCATATTTTCCAGTTTAAATATGCTAATATGAGAGTTTGAAAACAGTTTCAGCAGCAACTTTGATACTCCATCTTCTTGGAAAAATCTTATTTTACATGGTTGTGGTTTTCATGCTGATGTTGATATTTACATTGAAAATAAAGTCTCAATACAGTCAAAGTCTTGAATTTTGACACACATTTGCCAAACAGCATCTGCCGCATAGACCTTTTGAAATCTGACCAAGTTCTCACGTCTGAAGTGAAAGTCTTTTGAAAGAGTTCTATCAAGAGCTATTGTAAAAAATTGATCCCATTGATTAACCGTTCAAAGAAAACTGACCCCCCCCCGCGACAAAATAACAATTGTTGAATATTAAATGCCATCGCTGGTTTGATGACATTTTGCCAGATTTCTCTTAATTGGAAAATGGCTGAATTGCTGTACTTTTAGTTGCCCAGCATAGATAAAAATTAGCTGGCCGTAATTTATGCAGTTTTAAACAAAACTGTTTGCAGATGGCATATGTGTTCTTTGCTACAATTGAGAACTTAAAATGCTTAAAAAGTAAAGCACTTCAGCTTTCGTCAGCATTGTTTGATAAAGTGGTCTCAGAATGTTTGTTCACCAATGCCAGTAAAGGGAGAGGGAATTCAAAGAGGCAGGTTTAAACCCTTTTTTTGTGTTAGTAGCAGGTACTTTTTGATTGAAGCACAGATTTTTGATAATTTTTTTTACGTATAATTCTGTAAATGAATGAATATTTATCTGTCATTTGTGTACCAATATTTAATTCACATTTAAACAATTTAAAAGTTGACCGGGTTTCCATTTCAGACAAATTTATCTGTTAAAAGAGATGTTAAGATTCATTTTTGGCATCAGCGAGTGGAATCCATGTTGTTTCACTTTTGCGTTAGCACAAAGTGCAAAATGGCATTGACAGTATGCAGTTACAGATTTTTGCTCACATACTGTGTCAATATTTCAACAAAGCCGAGAACTTTGGAAAACTGCACAAAATGTTCTTCTTTTTTTTTATTCTCTAGAGAAGTAACAAACGAGTTGTTTGTTGAGATTGAGTGGTTTTTATACTCTCAGAAAATATCTGAGCCACAATTCAGATTGATGAATATGTACATTTGGGACGGGGGGGGCAATGGGTTGTACTTGAGATTGAGATTTCTTTGAATAATATGACTCAACTTTTTTGACTCTTACGAGTTCCAAACACAACTAATTTGAAACTCTGTGTAAAGTTTGTTTTTAAAACTGTTCAGATGTTGTTCTATTTCACCAGAATTATTCCTCGAATCTTTCCTCTATTCAGGGAAGCATCCAAATCTTTATGCATGCACCTGTGTATTGTGAAATCACATTTCAATAAAACCAATCCCAAGTTTTGTTTCAAAACTTACACTCTCATTGTAACCTTGGGATTTGAGGCCCTCTGTTAGTATGACTACTGTTTGGATGCTGTTAATAAGAACCATCAACAGACTTGCAAAATGGGAGTGGATCCTGCCAAAACGATACTTAAGACCTCTTTTTTGTTCAGTAATTCTGCTTTAGTTTGCATTGGAAAGAGCAAACTGAGTTCTTTGTTTTGATGTATCACTCATCCACTTTTATGTTATGTGGGTGAAAAATGTTTAGTGGTCCTGTAAACTTGCATTGTCATAAGACTCGCAATTCACTTCGTTACGTTGGACCACAAACATCATATTTTGCATGGTATTGTGAAAGAGCTTGACAGCACTTGACACCAGGTTAAGTCAAAGGTAGTCACTCCTGTAAGACGTTTCAAAGTGAGTAAACGTTTGTTGGTTAGGGGATAACTTTGATCTCTTAGTCAGTCGTGGCATTTAACTCTACAAGGGGTGGGGCAAAGAAATATTGGGGAGGGGGGTAGTCATAAAAAAAAAACATTTCAACAGCTAAGGGACAATTTTGTGCACAGAATCAAAATTATCAGTCTCCACTTTCAAGTATAGTTGTCATACTACACAGTGAAGGAAATGGGCAGAATCATCCCTTACAGTGTATGTCTGTGAAGTGGAACTTGGGGAGGGACAAGGAAAGACTAATGGGGGATAGAAAAAATATCACTAACAAAAAAATCTAAATGTAATGAAAGGACTTGCTCAAGAAAAATAGCGCCCTCACTTGACATGATGTCTTGGGTTGCAGAGCAGATGAGAGGTCGTGATGTCAAGCTTTTCTGTTTATAGACTCAACTTTTGTGCGGGCTTGTGCACCAGGGTGATGCTTTATGCAAGGCTTCTTCAGTTCAAAATTTTGTGCTGGTATGATGGGTTACAAAACAATATCTGTTGAGTTCGAAATGATTGCTGTGAAAAATGATTTGCTCAGCATGTGATGCTTAGATACGCTTTCATGATCCTAGCATGCAGAATTTGCGGAAAGTTGCTGAATATTGGATATTCACACCATGAAATGTATATTTTAATAGTAATAAATTAACTGTACATTAGAGCCAAATGTTTTTTCTCAAAAAGTGTCAACTTACGTCCAGCTCTGTTGACAATTCTTGATAAAGAATAAAACACTTATGACCGAGAAGTTTGTTTAGTGGTCAGTTGATCTTACCGGTCAATATATAATTATGAGTTCATATTCACCCATCATAATTCTCGTGGTGCTCCTTTATTACCTGTGATCATCCTGCCCACAAATCATTCATGCCCATAACATTTAAAGGGTAACAGAAATTGAAAACATTTAGTTCACATGAAGTATTTCAAAATAACAGTAAATACATAACCATTTCAAAAACATCGTAAATTTAATGTTTACCCCAGTAACTGTGACCCCAAAATAAATAAAAAGGTCCTGCGTTCCCCCACCCACAAAAAATTCCTTTTCGACCGTTCACCCTCCCAGGCTGATTGAATGGCATCATCGCCAGAATGCTGACATGTACAGTATACATGTACCGTACGTTGCGCACAGTAAATGCAGTATTGCACGCTTGCAGTAGACCATGTTGTGTTTGATGTAGATTGGCCCACAGGCAAACACTGTCTCAGTTGAAGAAATACATGGTAGGAGTGTGTCCTTTAATTTTTACCTTGACTGAGACAGTATTTGCCTGTAGGCCAAACTACATCCAACATAACGTGGACTATTGCAAGTGACACTGCACGTACTATGTGCAATGTACTTGTATATGTCAGCATTCTGGTAAACATTAAATTTACGATGTTTTTGAAATGGTGACATATTTATTGTTATTTTGAAATACTTCACTCAAAACTAAATTTTTTCAGTTTCTGTTACCCTTTAAACATGTCTTGGCAGCAGGAAGCTAGTTTGAGCCCAAACTGTGGTTTATCCACAGATGTCTTCTTACTGATACACACGCACACTCTAGGACCATTTTTGCCAAATATCATCATCACTGACATTTCCAAGTTAGTGGACCAAGTCAAACAGCTTGCTGCTCATGTGGTCACTTCCACTTCACATGTTATTCAACAGCAATGGATCCCTGTACTTCAGCTGCTCTGTGGAGATCTGAGACAGTGCAACTAAACACTTTGGGGGGTCAACTAGTTGACAAAAGTCATTCCATTTCAACTATGGTTGAACATTGTTCTCACTTGATAACACTCCTAGTCGAGTGTCAGTTAAAATCCCATCGTTACTCATTAGAAAAACAGCAAATCAAAAATACTCAAGTCAGCAGTGTAAATCTATGCTGCAGATGGGGAATGATAAACAAATTGCCCAGGCCATGAAAACTTAAAGGAGGGGTGCTGTCACCACATGACATTAGGGGATGCTGTACGTGATGCAATTAACAACTTACACATTCTTACACCCATTAACCTTACATCAAAACAGCCCATTTAAAGTTTTATATTTTTCTTCGCCATTCTCAATAATGTTATGGAATAAATTTTGGTTGTTCAAAAATTCCAAAAGTACCTCAAAATCTGCCTGTTTTTTCCCTCAACGGAAAGTGAGTGGATGATCCAAAAACCCCTCCCCCCATCTGAGAGTGGGAAAATGTACATGTATAGCTCATCCCCCCCCAAAAAAAAATTACATCCCGACTACAGCTCAAGCCATTCTTCCTGAAGTTAGATCACAAACACCTTGTGCATTCAACACAAACTGTTGTTTCTTGAAAAGCTCACTCTTGCAGAAACAATGTTCATCACATTAATCGATTCATGAAAGATACTCTTAAAACATGTTATGAAATTAGATGTTTTATGAATAACATTCAATGTCACAGTAGATTTGTTTTATTAAATGTTATTTTTCACCAAAAAATCTGAAAGTGGATGTCTCGCATTTCAGTGTTGTATTTCCACTAGTACTGCTCACGACACAAAGAGTTCAACACTTCAACTGCTTGATGGTTGTGATATAATTTTATTAGTGCCACTACAATCAGAACAAACTAGAAGTGCAGGCTTTACAGTTCTTTGATAGTGAGAAAGGGGAATGCAAGAATCAAGGAAATTAAAAAAATAGGGAAATCATAAATTACACCCATATATTCTTATAGCACACAATATACATATTCTACCATAACACTGGGTACGTTTTAACTGGTACACATGCACAGATTGTAAACTGAGCTTAGCACTTGATGGTTTGAACCAGCACAAGTAACAAACACCAGATTCTGACACATGCATTTGCAATTTAACAGAGAGTTTCTATGTGGAAAATAATTTCAACAGGTCAACTGTCACACTTGAATAACCCGCATTTAAATGACATGGATATTTTCTGTGATATTGTTTCATTACTTGGAATTACTCTTTAAGTCAAGCATATGATCTTGGAAAAAAAAGTTTTACGCAAAGTAATAATGAAAAAAAGGTCTAATTTTTTTCCTCCAACAAAATTCATTTTCAACTGTTGCGCTGCATGATGAAACAATTAATTCATCAAATACAAGGTCACGTCACATCACATCACAATCTTTTATTGGCTTTCAGCCAGATAGCCTAAAGCAAACTGTCCAAAGTTCAGAGTGTTGTAATGCTTATTCTTAAATCACAGAATTATCAGTAGACAATAAGGTCAGGTAACAATGGTGCATGCTGCCCACATTCTTTTTCCAGCTCTAGGGAAATGACTGCATCAAGTTAGCCGCAGATTTCCAATTGGAAATACTGCACCGAAAGACTGACCATTAAATTCCTGAAGCAATGAATGGTCTTCAAAGCTGCGCCAATATGTTGCAGCAGAAACTCATTATAATTTGCTCATTTTTTTCCATTGGTTTGTTCACTAATACTTTTATTACAAAGGGAAACAGCATGAGACACAATCTTTACCTTGCTTTGGATTTTGCCAATTATATAAATATTATTCACTTTGAACAGCTCACATTCTTGCTTTAAAACATACTTTCTAAATCATTACTTATATTACAACATGCATTGTAAAATGTTTCCAATGAATACTCAGACCGGATTAATACACCTATGTAATAGGTTTTAGCTTTACAAAGGTAAATGTTAAAGATTCTCATATGTGTTTGTATTCACTAGAATATTTTTGTTATAGGATATATTCTATGTGTAAAAACATTAAGCTGCTGTCATTCTGTAAGGCTACATGGAGAAAGAAAATTCTGCAGTAAAATGCCACTGAACACTTTATTAAAGACCAACGTACACAGAAAAAATCAATGGTAAGAATGGCATATATTTGTTGGTTTCGTTTCAACCCTGCTGATCACTGATGCAAAATTATGAGGCATCAACAATGAATGTATAAAGTGATGTATTCCGGCCACAAATTGTACAGCATTACCAAATCTTGTGCACTTTAAAATGTCTCAAGGGTAATCCTTTCGAACAAGTTTTTGTGGTTTCTATACACAGGTATGGTCAGTGGGAAAGATTAACATGTTATGTGAAGCTGTGCAGACAAATCTTAGGGGCAAATTTATGGAGAGATTTGCAAAGCTGTTGCCATTTCTGAGCAAAATAACGCTGAATGAAAACCAGTGGCAAAACTTGGGAGAAAGCGCTCAGGTGGAGTTTGAGTACTTTAGACCTACCCTCCCCAAAACAGAAACACGCCTATTTCTATACAGCTAGACACATATTTTGTCCATTCATTGGTGGGATTGACTGCATTTAATCTTTCTTGTTCCCCTTCTCCTTCTCCATGTATTCCTTGTACTGTCGGTCCGTGCCAAAGATCTTGTCCCACCAGGTGAAGGTGGAAGAGTAGTTGCCATTGAAGTTCATGTGGTGAAAGTCGTGGAATCGGGCGCCTGGGTTTACGAGCAAATAAATGTTAACTAAAGTAGCTAATAGATGTCTTGTATGGATTGTATACTTACTTTTGAAAAAAAAAGAAGTTGCAAATACTAAATTAACTGAGGGGATCAACTTTGAGTTGCACAAACCAAGCAAGTGAATTACTCATATAGAAATGTGCAGAGTATATACACACAACCAATCAAGAATCTCAGGGTGTAACATTTGAGACAAAACTCCAGAAGAATCCTCCAGTGTCAAATTGTTTTTATACAGTACCCTGACAAGGTGCTGAAAATGAGATCTACATGTATGGGGGTTTGTAACACAGCAAGGACTGTGCGCCCCGGCTGGACTCTGGGTAGGTGGACTGTGAGGGGCAAAGGATTTTCAGACCTACCTCCATAGAATGGCAGGAGGTGCAGAGGGTTGATGGGAAGGTCATAGCCACTGTGGACATCGATGGTTTCAAGGAGACGGACGAACATCCAGCCCCAGAGGAAGGCTAGGTGGTTAGCCATGAGTAGGATGCCCCACATGGTTCCCAGGCCCAGAACTGCAAGAAATAGAGAGACCCAAAATGTACCACTCAATGCTGGAATTTGTTTTTTTCTCTTCCAACAATAAACAGCCCCAGCAGCAAGATTTTTGGGGGGCCTGAAAACACCCTTTTGAAAAAGACAAGATGTATCAGCCAAATCTTGACATCAGATACAAATTTGTACAATATTTGTAGAATCCTTCTCATTAGGTACACTCAACTGCACACACAACCTCTGATTCAATTGTCACTAAATGAAACACGGATGACCATTTGTGTACAGGTGTCTGGGTTTGTAAGAACTGTGCTACAAGAACAGGAATATGCTCTTTTCATAATTACGCATTCACAAATGTTATATTTACGTTGTTACATTCACCTCCACAAACATGTTGAGATAACTCTAAAAGCTTAAGAATGCTAATTAAAGTACATAATACTGTGCATTATCTAAGTAATTTATGTACATTGATAGTTAAAATATTGTTTAACGTTTACTTCTAATTTATTATCTGACTTTTTGCTCAATTAATGTTGTTGCAAAGTTTGAAATGAATTCTGAAATTCTTAAATCAAATCCCCTTCGGGCATGCTTGCTATATGTACAGCCTACTATGATCAATTCATCTGAAATATTTACCTACTGGTATCTCCCTAAAATGCATGCACAATTTCGAAATTTTCTGGCCATTAACAGCTAGAATGCTGGAGTGAACCATTAACATTATTAAGATTCCATAGTTACAAAACACCTCTTTTTTGATTTATGTAACTAGGACAAGTAGGTTAACTTTAGTTCTGGACAAAAACGTTACAAAATCCGTCTTGGAATTCTTGACATACAGATATGTACAAATACTGTGTCAGCAATACCAGCAGATTGTTGCAACAAGCATGTTACAAACACTTTCCGCGTATGTGCAGATTCACTGTGGAAGTTGTTACCCTCATGAAACTGTGATTTGCAGAAGACATGAGGGTACCCTCAACATATGGCTCACACTGACAACCATCATCTCCGGAAATACACAAATTGCTTCAGTGATTTTAATGATACATATCTCTGCCACAACCAACTTCAGTGACGACAAAAACTTTGTACCTTTGCAAGTGTTTCTTTCACTTGTTGTGTAAGAAAAGTTTATGCAATTTTGGTTAGGTAGCCAAATCTAAAAGTTTGCACAAGCTTTTAGTAGTCAGCAAATTTCTTCATCAGATAAATGCAACACAGAGTACCTTCCTTTTCAATATGGTGCTTCCAAACTAACATGGCTGCCCAACACATACGTGTGCAGCCGATCATGATGGACAGATTTCAAGCTTCCCTTGATTTACAAAAAACCTTCAGTATAGCAACATATATTATTGCATTTTTGTTAGCTGATTGTGAATATGCTAACAAATGTACACCCTACAGTATTCACATGAGCTACAAATTTACTTCAACACCAACCTCCCATTTCAAGTTAATAAGAAACATTAGTTTGATTGTCACTGTTTAAATATTCACAAAAAGCATACACTAAGATACAGGTAAGAAAGATCTTTGACAGTCAATCTTATTTCAGACTTGCTTCTTGGACATTTAAACTAACCTATTTTGCCAAGTTTTAAAGTAGCTTTGATGAGAACAATAGCTCAACTATTTTTGGAATACCCAAATATTCAACAAAGAATTCCAAGATTCAAGTTTGTTGATATATAGAGATACAGTGCTGTATTTAGTACGCCACTTAACGCTTTGAATCAACTTTTATGCAACTGAATAAACAAAGAATGGAAAAGAAGATAAAGAATCTTTTTATAGAACACTTTGATAAACTTCGGTCTTGTTGAGCGAAAATTGTCACACTTTTTAGTTTGGAAATATTTAAACAATGCATATCCATTACACAATTTGTTTCAGTTATGTTTGTACATAATTTGGGCACTTTTTCTCGCCTTTTGATTGCTTGTGGACAGGTTAAGGCAACTTTAAGTTATTAATGACAATCCAAGAAAATGGTACTGGCCAGGTAGAAATGTGCTGCAAACTAATCCGTGGGTGACTCCAACTTGGCGAAATTCTTCAGATACTGACTGACCCATTTCCACAATAAATTATGATTGTAAGAATTAATCATCTTCAGTCCACAGATCTGCTTTACTGCAATCAGACATTGCTCTGTTTAACTCTGATAAAAACTTGATTTTCCGGATCAATCACTTACTCATTGTCTCAGCAGGATGAGCATATTCAGCAACCATACCAAAGGGGGCCTGTTTCAAATAAAGATGTGAAAGTAAATAAATAACTCTCTGCTTAACACCATCAATTTGTTGTGACATTTTTCCCCTATTTAAAAAAAAATCATCTTCTATGTGGAATGCCGTGTTGGGTAGACTCAAAAACTGAGAGTTGTATGTAACAAGCTTATATCACAAAGATAACAACTTCAAGAGCTTGCAAGACGAGAGCTGCAACTCTGCAAACCCACCTGGAAATTGTGGTGAACCTTGTGGATGTATTTGTAGATTCTCTTGTCGTGGAGGGCACGGTGGAGGAAATAGTGCCAGGTGTCTTCAATGACGAGGCATCCGTAGAACTGGGCTAACAGTACGTACCTGAATTTAAGTAAAGAGTGAGTGAATGGGAAAAAACAATAAAAGCAAAGTTATTAACGAATCCCCAATTCAAATCCATCGGGGTAGGCCGATTCTGTGATTATCACAGAATCAAGACTGCAAACTTCATCATCTTAAGAATCAATTTAGAAGTTCCAGCTTTGTGGACACGGAAGTACAAAGAAAGAAAGGATTCACAAAATTTCTATGTAAACAAACATGCAGGGCAATGTGTCACAGAAATGTTCAAATTATTGAAGCGCCAATAGAACACTTGAGTTGACAGTCTGAAAGACACCCACTGAAACAATTTTTATACCTTTAAATGTTCAACCAAGGGTAAAATTAAAAGGCACATACAGGCTATACCTGCCTTTCGCCTGGTAAGATGGGAAAGGTTAAAAATTAATCAAAGACTGCTCAGAATCATAAATTTTCTTGGAAAGGACATAGGGTACCATCTTCAAAAAATCTTCTGATATTTACAGCTTTATTCGACTTTAGATTTATTTGCAACTCATTTATAAACAGGCTTAATGTAAAATAAAAAGTTTGGAAATTCAATTGTGGGGTTATCTAGCCAGCTGCTTTCACTGTGTGATGTTAATCAAATAAGGCTGAAGCAAATGGAAGGTATCCTTGTTTTTGAGACTGTTGTGCTACTCACCAGGCTGGCATCTTGTCCCACTCAAAGGGTATACTGAGTACTTCACAGTAGACATAGGTCCCACAGATGAGAGGTAACTGAATGCACAACTGGCTGAACAACAGCAGCTTGATGCATTTCCACTGGCCCTCAGCAGTCTCTGGTTTATCCTAAAATTCAAACAACAACTTGTAACCTCTTCTTAAAAGAGTGCCAAGGGAGTAGATTGTTACCAAGCTTTTTCCAAGCATCGAAGAACTAAAAAGCATAGTTTTTACTGGACTAGCAGAACCAGGTTGAACTGTTTATGAATTTGCCAATGACCTTGACAAGAAAAAAAGCTGAGCTCCTCCTGACCTGGCTTTTTTTTTGAGAACAGGTGTAGGATAGCTCCAGCACTTCTCAACAATAAAATCTGAGCCCAAGACAACTTATAATCATGAAACTTAAGCTCACAGTATTCTCAACATCTACAGGTGCTGGGTTCATACTTCCAATTTATATTTATCTGATGCACTGTCTGTCTTTGCCAAGTTCCTTGTTGTGTAACAAAGCAACACTGATCCCTCAGCAAATGAAATTTCTCTCAGACTGCTTTCCCAATAATCTACAAGGCAAATACGTGTACATGTACATGTTGAATTATTTGTCATTGTAAAGCAAGTCTTTGAAGGGTCCTTCACAATGTGGCTTAACTATGAGGTATCTGATGTTAGCTCTCATATTAGCTTGCGTAACTAAGCTAGCACAATGCACAGTGCCTTGTATAAATCCCACCATCAGAAGAACAGATAACTGAATGCGATAATACCATGTATCTGAAGTTTTAATCTGTATTGCGGAGATCCAGACACTTCTTTGTTGCTTGATAATACTTCATCAGTAAATAGGAATGATTCGTGTATTTACTAATTCATTCATATTTAGATTTAAAAATATTTCGTGAATTCATTGTAGACTTTCAGGACATTTTTGAAACTCAAACATACCTCAAAATAATTACCCTGCTACACAAACTAAACATTCTTCATTCAATGGCACAAAATTTTCAGTTAAAGTTAGCCGGGGTTTAAGCTGAATTAAGTGGTGCAGTATCTACAATCTTTCTTACAATTGCTTAAAATGGAAAATGAGGCACAGCAACTGGCATGGCCTCTGACTGTTAGGTTCATCTGAATATGATTTTCAGCCATGTATTTTTTCTCTCCGTCTTAAAAAAATGATCAGCAAACCCTAAGGAAATCAGGGAAAAAATGACAGAATTACAATGGCAGGTACGGCACCGGTGAAAACAGCGACCGATAGTGACGTACGCACCCACCAGCCTGTCCGAGGATCGGGTTACACAATCTTTTCTTTGATCAGTACATACACTCTTACTCCTCGTAGTTGTTTTCATTAGTGCGATGTGGTTGCTACCCGCAATTTTGTGAAACTCCCAAATGTCTGCGCTGCCCCATAGCAGTTGCCAGTGTTATAACAAGTCACTAAATTTGGTGACTCGAGTCGAGTCATTTTCACATAGTGGCTCGAATCATTTGGTCAAGAAGTTGAGTTGAGTCACTTTATGTGGTCGAGTCAAGGACTGAGTTTGAGTCAATTTGAGTCACCAATTTGTGAACAAAATTCAATAAAAACACAATGTAACTCACTTTTTGGTATTTTTAGCTTCATTTAGACATACTGAAAATAAATTAGACTGACAGGTATCTAGCCAACTGAGATTTTGCTTTTAATGTTTTTGAGACTCGAGTTTTACAAGCTTGTACTTGAGTCGGGGTCTCCATGAGAGATTTGAGTCAAGTCATTTGATCGCAGAGACTCAACTTGTTTCATTTACTACTTACTGAGTCATTGACTGAAGTCATTACAACCCTGGCAGTTGTTAATTCATAAATGAAATTTCTAAGGTTTTCAATCAAAGTGTTTTCACCTTTTGGATCTTGAACCTTTGCATGAAGGGTAGAAACTGAGCAATGATCGAAGGTAAGCTGATCAGGTAGTAAGACAACTGAAAAGAAGCAGAATATAACATCAGTATCTTTAACTTTAAGCAATAAATAAACCTGAGAACATTAGCTTTCAAGAACATGAATATCATTTTCAAAGAGTGAAAATTTTTGAACTAAACTCTGAAAGGGCACAAGTACTCAAATAGGTTCTGAACATTATCACAGCCATTCAAAGCAGAAATATCAATTATGAACTATTCCAAGTTAACGCCTAGCCTGCTGAGTCTTTACCATGTGCACCATAACCGAACCAACAGTTGCTATCTGGAATCGGGTGTAGTTGTCGGTCATGTAGTTCCAGGCCATCTCTACGGGAGGCTTGAGTGGATTCTCCGGGACGTATTCCCAGAACTCACTCAACCTCATGGTTCCGATGATTCCTTCTTCAGCCATGTTTGCCTAGTTCGTAACACAAGTACCTGTAGAACCAACCGACTGTTCGCTTTTGATGGTTTAGTCCGCCTGCTTGGGGTAATAATAAACTGTGCACCCTTAAAGCTGAATGAACCAGCGCAAAAGAACGTTGTCAAGATTCAGTCGAGTCCACAGTGCACGGTGCCGGCGCGGCGTCGGTGACCGGTGATCGACTGATCGTACACGCTTAGCGCGCATGTACACAAATATCACCTGATCATGGTACCGGTAAGACCAAAGATTGTATAGCGCCGCGCAGCTGGCTGGGTACGACCAAACTGATTTTCGGCTGGACGCTATTTTTACGGCTGCAAGCAATCGTTTACGTAAACGGCAAGAAATTCTACGGAGGCCGATCACGGCATAGTAGAAAGAGCCCATGAACGTCAACAAACAAATTTCAGAAAGAAGCGATGTTTAAATGAATCCTTCGATGGAATGTATCTTAGCTATGAAACAACGTGAACAACTGAGATTTTTTTTCACCAACAGGAAAAAAGACAGGAATAAGAAACACACTAAGGCTGCATCCGAATCTGTTGTCTAGAGCTAGGTCTAGGTCTTCACTCCATTGAAAGTACGCGGAGACACGCAGACAATAGACCTAGCCGTAGCTCTGGAAGACCGTTTCGGGCACGCCGTAAGCCTTTGTGGAAAATGAATGAGGGCGCTCGTGTAGACAATATGATGACCCCAAAATAATGTCTTCGCGAACCGAATCGCAATTTGTATACTATACAATTTCTCTTCTATTAAGGAAGTTGGTGGCACATGAATTCGGCGGTTTATAAAGAACCTTTGAATTTAATAGCAGAGATATAAAACAGTACCGGAATATATTTAGAAAGTGTGAAACACGAAAACGCAAAAATCAAAATCGCTCTATAATATTGATTTCAGGAGTCAACGCACCCGATTAGGAATAAAAACGAGAATGTCGCTTTCTGGGCTGGAGTCCATTTTCAAACGATTTTGTACCATCCTAGATTTCGAAAAAGTGTAATTTTCTCTAAAGGAATGTGTAGGGGGGACCCCTTGGCACACTTAATTAGCGCCCCGAATGATTCGGCCCACACGCTGTCTCATCCCAACTGATTTCATGAATCAACGCACCCGATTAGGAATAAAAACGGGACTGTCGCTTTCTGGGCTAATGTTTGTTTTCAAACGATTTTGTACCATCCTAGACAACAAAAAAGTATGCTTTTCTCTAAAGGAATGTGTAGGTGGACCCCTGGAGTAGTAGAGAGGTGACAGTTCTAGAACAGAAGGGGACTTCCCCCTTTTTCACTTGCGACTTCCCTAGCCAACCCTAGTGACCCCCAAACCAAAAACGGACTTTCAGCGGGCCTCCCCAGTTTTCGAAAAAAATTAGCTCTCCCCTGAAGCTTCTAAAAAAATTAGATAATTTATAAAATCTGTATATAAAACAGAGACATCAGCACTCCACCAAAACAACAACCTTTTATTCCACTTCCCAAATATTTGTCTGTTAAAACTGCAATCATTAACGTACAAAACAAAAATGACTCTGGGTGCATGATTCGCTGGGCGTTGAGAGCTGTTTTAAAATCATATTCAGACTATGTAAGCAATCAGTTGGAAATCAATCCAAAATATAGAATACACGAATGTAGAACTTCAACTTAAATTGCCGACGACGGCTTAAATTTTTCAAACGTAGACTTTCCGACACCGTATAATTTGGTCATTAATATATTTGGTTACAAGGGTAAGGACCGCGTCTACCTGCTTTATAAAACTAAGCGCATTGCCGAGCCCATCAATTTACTCTACTTTAAAGGTCACTATTGTTGGATTATGCACTTTTCCCGGTTAATGGGCGACACCAACATGCACAACGGTAAAAAACATTATTGTTTTAGATGTTTAAATCACTTTCAAACGGCAAAAAGACTCGGACACCAAGACACCAGACACCAAGAACATTGCCAAGGAATGGACACAGCGCCTGGCAAAGTAGTGTTTCCCGTAAAGGGTCAATTCCACCCAACCCAAAAACCCTAAAAAATTTCTCAACGTTTCTCTAAAAGTCAAATGAGCCAACTTTTGCCACTAATTTTGAATATGCTAAATTAATTACTGCTCACGCGGCGTGGCTAATCGACCACGGTTATGAAACGAAACGAGATTTAATTGAGCAGGCAAAGCTGGACATGCAAAATCAAAGGCATCACGTCTGCTTGGTTAGAACGACCAAAGACGAAAACAAGTCTCTAAACCAAAGGAAATATTTATTCCCAATTTTTTCCTAGCAGATTAAAAATAAAAGACTATTTAATTAGTTAAATAGAAATCAGACAAATATAAAAAGGCACGATAAATCAAAAAACAAACGTAAATTGCCACATTTGCCAAGACCTGGTCGAATCAGTTAAATTTAGTATATTCGGTCGATTGCATGCACAGTTTACATTTCGACGCTTTATTTGAATGCACCGATTGTAAAGAATGTCACGACAGCCACAAATGTAACGACTGCACAAAATGTACCCAGTGTTCGACTTGTGACGAATGTGGCGAATGTACAAATTGCGTGGCTTGTTTCAATTCATACCACTGCGAAAATTCAAATGCTTTGGACAGCTGCGGAACCTGTTTTGACAACTCAAAAGGCGACAAAGTAATATCAATTAAAAACATTTTCTTTGAAGTAGGTTAAACCTTGGAATTGGATAAGCTCGCTTACATTTATTGCCCGCAGTTGGACACCAATTTTAATTTTTACAACGGGCAGTCGTTTGATTTATTACAAGTGATTTCGACAAATAGATATTTCCGCCGTGATTTCAAACGCCTTAAAAGTTAAAACCCATAAATATCGCCAAATTAACCTTCTATGTCAGGACAGAAACTGGAAGGCTTTTGCAAAATGAAAACGACGGATTAATTATTGAACTAAACATTTTAACCACGCAATGATAAAACGTATATTTTAAAAAGATGGCTACAAACGTCGAGTAAACTCTGTACCCAGACTTGACTGGATATCAAGCCGAAAAACGGGACAAACATTTATCGCTTTCAAAAGATTGAAAAAATTCGAGGCCACATATTACGAGAACGCGAAGCGAGACATACTTGTTATAAAAAGATTACAAGTCTGTTAACCACGTTTAATTAAGTGGAATACGGCGTCGAAGCTATAGGCCCTACTTCGGCAGCCATAGGCATCCCCGCTATAATGGGAATAATTACTCGGCCTATAGGAGTGGCTATGGAAGGCCTTGCCATAGGCTCATTTGGCGCTTACGCGATATTGAAATACGCCAGTTGCAGGTGGGTTTATAAACCTAAAATCACGATTAAATTCGCGTGCTTGGAGACGTCAAGCTAAACACCATTGACGAATAAGTGTCGCACGCCAAGTTGAAAACGGCGATATTTCCCATAAAGAATTTTATAAAATTTTGTCCGAGCTTAAAATGTTTAACGAAATGAAGGAAAAAATTAGGTCAAATACGACGACTAAGTTGAAAGAAAGTAAACTGACGAGTAGAGAAGAATTTGATCGACGGGTCAAAGAGAAAGCAGAAGCACTCGCCAACGAAAGGGCTGCAGTTTTAAAAAAGTTCTTATGAAAAAACTTGGCGAGTAACTTTGCCCAAGTCTGCCAAATAGAAGAGCCACCACCGCTTACCCCACCGCGCCTTCTTGTTAAAAACCTTTTTTTAAAAGATGGGGTTCAATTTTAGTCATTTGGCAATCGTAGTAAATAAAGACAATTCATTTGCAGCCGCGTTTCCAAATTTAACCGCGGCATACAAGTTACGAGAGTGAAAATTGACGAAGCCGTCGATCGTTCAGTTACTGACGCGATATCGTTCTATCAGACCAATTTAATTTCGCGGTGTATTGCGCGACGACGGCATGCGGGGTGGGTTTTGACCTACTGTCTGATCCGAATCCGTACGTATCAGCCCTATTCAACTTTCACGTGTATTGTACGGTTAGGAAAATGTTTTACTGCGTGATGCCGATACCCAGCGACAACATTTTTGACACGCTGCACAACAATTACGATCATAGAAAATTTACCGGCACTTGCCTATTGTACGACGTCGACCAAAATATCATTTAAACAAACGAGGGATTAATTTCAAGATGTATTTCAAGATGTATACAAAACGAGTGATGCTACATCAAACGGGCTAGGCACAGCCTACTAGCATAAAGACGGCTACGCTCCCGTCCCGGGTAAAAAACTATGACGCACACGACTTTTACACGTAATTAACGGCAAATATGCGGGATCCACTTTTATGGGCTTCGGTTGGGCTAAACCGCCAAATGCTCTGGCCACGCTAGTACCTACATGGTAAATTGGCTAGTACCTACACGGTAAATTGGATCCAGCAGTCTGCCGCAGTTACCCTGACGTGGTGGGACTTTGTCCTAAAAAATCGAGCTTGACAGACGTTGAGATTACAAAAGTAAACGAGTCAATTAGAGCCTACGTTTACGCGCTGTTGGGAGCTGAGGCACAGCCGAAAACGAGCGTAATGGCATCAGGAACGGGACTAGACGCTCAATGGCAGTTTACTACTATAGTAGAGTCTTTAATTAATTCGGTGTCCGACTTGGAGGCCAGTATAGATCAATTTCAGGATTCGTTACAGTACGCTAAAACGCCATTAAATTTTGTAGTGGCGCCCAGCTTATAGTTGGTTCCCTCTGACATGGATTTGCGCATCGGAACGTTTGAAGGATGCAACAACAATTTGCAAATCGCGACTGAAGACATGCGGACCGGTTATGTTCCAACTGTAAATTCTAGCGACGTTTCAGAGACTACCAATTTTAACGAAAAAGTTGACGACAAGGAACCTGTACCTGCTTTACCAAAGCCAGATCCCATAACATGCATAACGAAGAAAAATTGTCGTTGACGATCTGAACGATTGCAGTTACGGGATTCGGTTTTATGTTGTACAATTTACTAACTTAGTTATCTTGACCAAAAAATAACCCACTTTCTCAATCAAGCCTCAATTAAAAGGCTTTACCGAGAAAGTGGGTTATTTTTTTGCCTATTAACCTATTAACTATTTATAAATCTGTTAATTTGTCAATTATGTTACACTTTTCCATTAAATTGCATTTAGACAAACGAGCACGCAATTCCACTTTACGTACCAAATGGACGTGTCTAATCTTTCAATGCTTGCTTGGTCAGCTTTGCAATTAATAAATTGCAATTTAACGTTACAATCGTTACAATAG